AGCCGCATCAGATGAAGACGTATTTACTTAAACTGTCTACAGGGGAAACAAAAGGCTGCGTCTGCTTTTAACAAATCTTCAAGCCATGGTCTGTTGTGTACCATGCAGCGGCAAAAGTGCGCTTCTTTCCTGAAAACAATCTCCCTGGATAACGATCCAGCTTCACCTGCTTGGGTTTATTAACCCCAAGATCATCGCTAACTCAGCCCCGGGGTTTGCCGAGGTCAAGCTTGTGACATTAAGGCGTGCTGCTGCAACAGCCAACACATCCTCACTCCCAGGTCGGCCTATGTTGACGTTATGTCAAGTCCTGTGTCGGCTTTTTCCAACGCAAGGGGGGGGGGCCTTAGCGTCCATTTTCAACGCAAGAGGGGGGCCCTTAGCGTCCATTTTCAGCTTTCCGGGATGTCCATATGCTTCTATGGACGCTCATGGAAGCACGGCATTCGTTTGTGTCGGCTGCCCTTAAAGGCAATGTGAGCGTCCATTCCAATCCTCCATTGGATAACGGATAATTGTACACCCGGAAGTAAGTATTCCCCTTACTGTCGATTGAGTTTACAGTGATATCTGCACTACTCATCGACTAAAAAACACCAGATTATCCTTGTTAATTACACAACATTGATTGGTTTAAATTGTGTGCAATGCTTTTGTATTTTTCCCCTTCGATTCGGAGAAACAAATATGTTTTCGGAGTAAAAGGATGGCAGAAGACACTACACTACCCAGAATCCCAAGCTATCGTTTGGACTACACCATGTGCTCTGTTCGATGTCACGTGATCTTCAAATTTCTCCCTGCAGAAAAAAAAACATGGCCGAACTTCGTTTTATTCTCGGTGGAAAATGCCTATTTTAAAGTTAGTTTGGCCATTAAAATGCGTTTTGATGTCATTTGATGCGAGAAATATGAGTTGTTATTTCAGATTATGTGTGCAGTGGATGTACATGATCTTTAGTTTGCTAGTTATTACGAAGATTACTTCAGGAAATTGCGTCCATAGAACGTTTTCATTGTTACCAAGGTGGTTGCTAGGGACGCTGCTATCGATATTAATTCTGTTATGTTGTGTAACTGTTTAATGGTGTTATCTTTATTGCTACCCCCTTCCCCGTCAATGTATAGTGTTGGTCCACAGCGAAAACGTATTAGTTTAACAAACTCCGCATCTAAAGATACGTTATTTTCCCCTGTGCAATTCCAGTCTCACATCTCACAGCACATCGTCATTAACAAATACCGGAAACAGACCGAAAACGTTTTTTTTAAATAAAATAATACTTTATTCCGAGTGTGCTTGCTTTTCTCTTTGAAAGTCATCACATAACGGCATTGTAATACACGGTTCAGCTGCATTAAATATTACATATCTGCCGTAGTTCTGTATTTATAGAGCCCTGATGAGCAGACTTCTAGACAAACATGAGGAACTGAAAACGTGACGTGGATCATAAATATATCAGCCATTAAACAACATCTTACATTTCTTTCACACAATACGTCTCCTTGCAGTATCAACACTAATTCGGCTGACTTTTATATTTGATCCAATTGGTAGATAGGCTGTATTTACACCATAAAGGTGCAGAGCTGATATAAAGGGACACCAAGTGGTTAAAGCAGGTTATTGAATTTCATTATTTTTATTATTAGACATTAATAAGATCCCTATAAAGTATATTAATTACTCGTTATTCTCTACTAATAGTTAATTAAAGACTGTATATAATGACTATTTTGCACATCCCTTTCAAGATTTCAAGATTTGCTAAGGTTTATTGACATATCATATAGGCCTACACAACTATGGTGTAGTTCTGCATTGAATGAAAAACTTGGGTCGCAGGTTCCTCAATAGTGCATTACAAGACATCTATCAATATTTGTGCGTACCTCCAGCAATGTTAACTATGTTGAAGCACTTATTTTAACTGATATTATACATAATGTATTATACTCTTATAAGATGTATGTAGATATTTCATCTCCGGCCTTGTCAGGTATTGAACAATCAATAAATAAAGAACACAGAATTGTTGAATATAAAACACAGAATTTGTGTGATTATACTAAATGATTTACAAATAAACACCACTGCATATTTACAACTGTTACACATGCTGATGTAACGCAAATGTTCCAACTTGGGATCAATAAAGTATATCTTAAGCTGATCGATGGCTACTGCCATATTTGCAAAATGTGCCTCTGAACCTTGACAAGTGCATGTTTCAGGCTTATCAATTAATGTAATGTAATGTTATCAATTAACAACAGGGGTCACAAACATAAGACCAGCTGTTAAATAAAGCTCTTCTGACCTTAGCTGGCATGTGTGTATATATATTAATGCTGCCCATTATGGGCACAAGCAATTTTCACCCATTTATTAATTATATGTTTTAAATGTGAGTGTTTCCTATCCCCTAAACCTCCAGGGATGTACACAGTTTAATACTGGCAACTTCTTATTATGGGAAATACGAAAACGTCTTTTAAAACTACAACTCCCAGTAGAGACGTGCCATAGATAGAGAACATGTTGCGAAACAGAATAGCCAGCATGTGTAGTTCTGGGGATTGATTGATTGATTGATTGAAAAGTTTATTAACAGCTTGTATATTGGGTACAGTACAGTACAGCTCAAAACATACAATTGTTAAGGGGATGCAGACCAGAGAAAGACTTTCGTCTTGTTTACATCAGGGTCCCCCATTTCCAATTCATCATATCATTTAAGACATATAAGACATATTTGAAATACAGCTGGCTTATTTACAATTTACATACAGGTGTTTTTTTTACATACAGATTGCTTGTTTACAATTTTCATTTTAGATTTCGTTCTAATACATCCTAACCGGACATTTAAGACATACCAAGTCTACAGATATACAGTTAGTAACAGAGTCTAAAATGCGAGTATATACATAGATGGGGGGGGGGAAGCTGTCCATTGAACGACAGGTTGAGATTTGTACCATTACCGGGGCCAGTTTTGCAATGCTCTCCCCCGAAGGTGCTCTTTAAGAGAGGTTTTGAAGGTAAGTATAGTTTTACTTTCGGGGGACGGGGTGGGGGTGGGGGTGGGGGAGGGGGGGGGACGCGGTGGTCCCGTTCAAATCCAGTTTTGGACATTTTGCCGTCCGAGGCTCGGCGTAACCCTCGGAGCACACTCTCCAATCACAGAGCTTGAGGACTATCACGGGGTTTGTCAAACAGAGCACATGGTGTAGTCCAAACGATAGCTGGGAATTCTGGGTAGTGGAGTGTCTTCTGCCATCCTTTACTCCGAAAAAATATTTGTTCTCCGAATCGAAGGGGAAAAATACAAAAGCATTGCACACAATTTAAACCAATCAATGTTGTGTAATTAACAAGGATAATCTGGTGTTTTTTAGTCGATGAGTAGTGCAGATATCACTGTAAAATCAATCGACAGTAAGGGGAATACTTACTTCCGGGTGTACAATTCTCCGTTATCCAATGAGAATGGGACGCTCACATTGCCTTTAAGGGCAGTCGACACAAACGAACGCCGTGCTTCCATGAGCGTCCATAGAAGCATATGGACATCCCGGAAAGCTGAAAATGGACGCTAAGGGCCCCCCCCCTTGCGTTGAAAATGGACGCTAAGGCCCCCCCCCTTGCGTTGGAAAAAGCCGACACAGGACTTGACATAACGTCAACATAGGCCGACCTGGGAGTGAGGATGTGTTGCAACAGCAGGTGCAGGGGTCGCCAGCAGCACCATCGGCTGCAGTTCTTTCATCGCTATTTCATTTAATAAATCCTTAGACCTTTTAAGCCCATTTTTGATGTCCATTTTCTAATTCAAACAGAAATGGGAGTCTACAGAATGCACAATAAACAAATCCAGAATAGGTAGGCAGAGTGTGACGCTGTGATTGGTCTATATGGGGACGAATCACAAATCACAACAGACACATGCATTTATTTGACGTAGCCTGCGATTTTTTGTTTTTGTTCTGACATCACATACATCGCAGCATAAAAGTTCACAGTTTATAATTAAAAAAATACAATTATATATTTTTTAATTTTTATAAATAATAAAAAAACGTGTTTATTGGGGAGGGCAGGAATGTCAAATGGGACGGACACATCACTACTGTGCAGTGTGCACACAGTTCTGCCGGTAATGAATATTACATTTTGTGAGGAAACTTTTCCACCAATAATTCCAATAAGTATTCCAAAATGTATTCACTTCAGGTTTACGAAAGTAACTGTAATCAGATTACTCGTTTTTCAAATGTAACGCCAGCGGAATACAGTTAGCCTACTTTCTCTGGAAGTTTTTCCTTGTACGATGTGAGGGTCTAAGGACAGAGGGTCTAAGGATAGAGGGTGTTGTTTTTCTCATACTGATATTCTGAACAATCTGTGCTGATGTATTTGCTGTAAAGTGTCTCTACTGTAGGCTAATTTTATCATATGTACAGCACTTTGGCTCGACCAAAAATCGTTTATAAATGTGCTATATAAATAAAACTTGATTTGATTTGTGAATTTACTCCAGGTGGAACTAAAGTCTGATTTAAGACTTGATTATATTTCACATCATTCATCCACATCTGCAAAGTAACTAAAGGGATTAAATGAATGTAGTGGTGTAACAGTACAAAGTAGCAACCCTATGGTAGCAACACATTTAAATACTCAAGTAATGTACGAGTACTTCAAAATTGTACTAAAGTAAAGTACTTAGTTACTTTACACCACTGACAATTTACACAACATGCAGATTCACATGGGTCAAGCCAATGTAGGAAAACAATGTCCGTTCACATCCCGAGGACGAGGATGGTTGCCTAGCATCTCAACCATTAGCCTAGCTCCTGCTAACATATGATGTTTTTTCTCTCACATTTAAGGGGTCTCTCGATACTTGGGACTCCTTTTTATTTTTTTACAGCCATGAAAAAGTTCATTTGACATAAAAATGTATTTTTTATTTCCATGTATACACCAGGCCAATCAACTGTGGAGTTTGAGTGTATGGAAGAAACAAATCTGATCCTGATCCACTCCAACAAACTCAACTACACCAAGCTGAACAACACACACACTGCCCGGCTGATCGCTTCAGGTAGGACACACACACACACACACACACACACACACACACACACACACACACACACACACACACACACACACACACACACACACACACACACACACACACACACACACACACACACACACACACACACACACACACACACACACACACACACACACACACACACACACACACACACACAGTATGTAGTCTCTGAGAAGCTGAAGTCTCTGGTCATTGTTGGGGATTGCTAAAATGACAAACCTCTTCAGTGTTGCGTTGAGTTCAATGTCAACTTTAATGTCAATCTTTCAGTTTTTGTGGACAGACAGATCGAAATAAAGCCCCGGATGTTTTTTCTTTAGCCCCGGACAAATTCTCCCTCGATAATATAATGCATTAACCGTACTTTACCTAGAGGACGGTAGAATTGTAATTTCCCGTGTTCGGTGAATGCAACAGAGGCAAGACACCACCAGACCAATCAGAGAGTTGCATGGAAATAAACGTGTTTTATTGGCTGACAGGTACGTACTGATTGATTGATTGATTGAAAAGTTTATTAACAGCTTGTATATTGGGTACAGTACAGTACAGCTCAAAACATACAATTGTTAAGGGGATGCAGACCAGAGAAAGACTTTCGTATTGTTTACATCAGGGTCCCCCATTTCCAATTCATCATGTCATTTAAGACATATAAGACATATTTGACATACAGATGGCTTATTTACAATTTACATACAGGTGTTTTTTACATACAGATTGCTTATTTACAATTTTCATTTTACATTTCGTTCTAATACATCCTAACCGGACATTTAAGACATACCAAGTCTACAGATATACAGTTAGTAACAGAGTCTAAAATGCGAGTATATACATAGATGGGGGGGGGAAGCTGTCCATTGAACGACAGGTTGAGATTTGTACCATTACCGGGGCCAGTTTTGCAATGCTCTCCCCCGAAGGTGCTCTTTAAGAGAGGTTTTGAAGGTAAGTATAGTTTTACTTTCCTTTACAGTTGTGGGAAGAGCGTTCCACCTTGATGTGGCATCATTGCGAAACGTGTATTCCCCCTTTTTGTGCCAAATCTGGGTTTCACATGATTTGTGGAGCTCCCTCTGGTGTTATGATCATGGTATTCCTTGACCTTTGGGAAGAATTTTGACATGTACATGGGTACCATAGAGGTGTAGTGGATCTTGTAGACCAGGCCCATTGCAAGTAGCTGTACTCTGTCGTCTACTCTAAGCCATCCTAGGTTGTCAAAGTGGGCAGAGGTGAGGTGGGTTCTAGATGAAAGGTCAAGCAGTAGTCTGACCAGTTTATTTTGCGATGTTTGAAGTTTTATTTTTAGCGCCTTGGAGGTGCTATGGTACCATGACGTGCAAGCATAGTCATAGTACCCTTGAATGAGTGCTCCTGCCAGAGTTTTCAGGGTGTTTTTGTTTACCAGAGAGGAGATCCGGTATAGGAATCTAGTTCTTTGATTGACTTTTTTTATTACATTGGATGCCATTTTGTCACAGGAGAGGTTTGCCTCAAGAATAGATCCTAGGTATGTAATTTCCTTCTTACTTGTGACAATAATGTTGCCCACTGCAACTGAGAAGTCGTCGGATTTGCTGAGATTATGTTTCGAACCGAAGAGAATGGACTCTGTTTTACCCAGGTGTAATGATAATTTATTATCGGCGAGCCAGGTGCAGATTCTGCCGAGCTCGGAGCTGAGGGTTTTTTCAACCTGCAACCTGTTCCTGTCAGAGACCAGCAGGGCTGAGTCGTCCGCGAACAGGAACAAGTTGCAGTCACATGCTGATGACATGTCATTTACATAAATTAGGAACAGTAACGGACCTAATATGCTTCCTTATGGAACACCACAGCTCACTGGGAGGGGGGGGACAGAGTACCGTTTACCTCCACCATCTGTTCTCTCCCCTCCAGGTAGGATTGCATCCAGCTCACCGATAGTTTATCAAAACCAATTGCTTTTAGCTTGTCAATCAGAATGGGGTGATTGACAGTGTCGAAAGCCTTTTGTAGGTCCAGCATCACCGTGCCGCAGTACTTGCCCTCGTCCACCTCTTGTTTGATGTGGTCGCTCAAATAAAGAAGGCATGTGTCAGTGGAGTGGGATGTTCTAAAGCCAGATTGAAATTCATAGATTAGTTTATTTTCCGTGAGGTACTTTTCGACCTGTTCATATACTATTTTTTCCATGACTTTCGAGATGGAGGTATGTATAGAAACAGGGCGGTAGTTGCCTGGGTCCAATTTGCTGCCCTTTTTGTGCAGGGGGGGTTACTCTTGCAATTTTGAAGTCTTTGGGTACTTTTCCCTGTTTTATGGAGAGGTTAATTATGTGAGCTATGACTGGTGAGATGGCGGTTGCTGTGTCTCTGAGGAATTTGGAGGGGATATTGTCGTGGCCAGTGGCCTTGTTAGGTTGGAGGGCGCTCAGTTTAATGAGTACCTCTGCTGTTGTTACCCTTGCTAGACTGAAATCATCTTTGCGTACCCCTAGGTTTTTGTAGTAGGTCATGATGTGATCTACTCCAAAAAGCCCTGAGTGGGAGGGTAATTTATTTACAAGAGTTGTGGCTGTGTTTGTGAAAAAAATGTTCAAGTACTTGGCCACATCCAGTTTTTCTGTGATGAGCCTGTTATCTGTCTTTATGTTTTAGTTAGAAAATCTCGTTTTGAGTTTTTTTACTGCAGCCAAGCTGGTTATTGAGTAATTTCCAAAGTTCACGGGGTTTATTTTTGTTTTCCTCAGTTTTGACATTGATGAAATTCTTTTTGGCAGTTTTGATCATGGAGCTTACGTAATTTCTTAGTCTGTTTCTTTCAATTTTTAGTTCAGTCACGTGGGCCTGGAGTTCACTGCTCGTGCTTTTGGAAAGCATTGACTGACTTTTATGAAACTCAGAGCATTTTTTGTCTCTGGTTTTCATGGCGGTCAGTATGCCGGAGTGCATCCACGGCTCAGCGCGATTTTTTACCCTGGTTGTTCTTAGGGGGGCCAAATCATTGAGTATTGCAGAGAATTTGTTTTTGAAACCAAGCCATGTTTCTTCAACTTGTGTACCACTGAGCTCATCTGACCAGTCCAGGCTCTCCAGTTCTAGGTTAAAGGCCTCGCTAGAGTAGTTTTTGAGGTCTCTAGATATGACTGTTTTGTGACAGCCGGCCCTTTGTTTTAGCTTTTTGCGGGTACAGAATATCATATAATGATCACTTAACCCGCATGCTATAACCCCTTTACTGGAGACCCTGGACTTGTCAGAGGTCAGAATGAGATCAATGGTAGTTTGTGTTGTTTCACATACCCGGGTGGGTTGGGTGATTAGCTGGCTGAAGCCGTGCAGATCACAAATCCTACTGAAGGACTTGAAGACGGACGTGTCTTTACGTTGCATATCCGTGTTCCAGTCTCCAATAATAATTGTCTCTACATCCCCCACATCAGCCAAACACCCATCTAATGTATCATAAAAGTCACTCTGTTTCGGTGGTCTATAGATTGTCCCGACTATTACAGATTTAGCATTGTCAAAAATAATTTCAACCCACACAGATTCAATATTTTCATGATGCAGGTCAGTACGGTTTTTGAAATTGGTGTCTTTATGTATGTACATGCAGACACCACCTCCATTCACGTTCCTGTCCCTTCTCACTACAAGATAATCTTCAATTTCAATCTCTGAATCTGTAATGGAATTGTCCAATTTGGTCTCAGAAAAGCATAATATGCTTGCCTTACCGTTCATGAATAGCTGCCAGAGTTCAGCCAGTTTGTGTCTCAGGCTGTTAGTGTTCAGATGAAAAATATGTAGTCCATTTTTGTTGCTTAGATGCACAATGTCATCAGCTTGCAGATATTTGTCTTTGTCCGTTACAGCAACCGGCTTGAGGCCTGCCGTGGTGTTTGGAGCGGTCGGGTGGTGGGGGGGGAGGGAAGCTCCGTTGTAGCTTTAGCCGTTGATATGCTAGCAGGGTGGCTAACAACATGGCGGATATTTGTTCCCTCGGATCTCGGTTCTCTTCCTCTCGTCACTGCCTCATGCGTGTCTGTCTGCCGAGGCGTCCCCGGGGGAATCTCGAAGTCTCCGTTAATTCCTCGGTCTCCGCTGTCTCCACGGTCTCTGTTGTCGCGTAGTTGTTGCTGCAGCGGAAGAGATGCTAGTTCTGATGCTAATTGTGATGCTAGCTCCTCGAGCCTGCAGGACTGGCTTCTTGTTTGCACCGGGCCCGGATTCAGATGGATGTCTCCCGCTAACAATAAGACCAAGACGATCATACTTCTTCGGTCTAGTTTGCCTGACGGGGGTAAGTACTTTCGCGTCGGGTTTGCAGTTAATAATGCATGAATGCGTGCACTTCCAAAAGCGAGGTGTTTCCTTTCCCAGCCGTTGAGAAGGTAAAAGTCATTGTGGTTCATTTTATCCCCGCTTTCATTACTCTCCTTCTCTAAGTGATGTTGCCTCATTGATGAGTTGAGGTAGGAGTCCATAATCCATATTGTCAGGAGGATGAAATATGTAAAAAATCGTGAGGAATAACCGCCAAAGCGGGAGCTCACGAAAATGCGACCACTCATAGCGAAACCGGAAGTCATACGTACCTCTCCTCTGTGACAGTGTTTACACTTTAAACTGTCAGCCGCGGACGCGGAGTTTCTGAAGATGGCAATTCTCAAGTGATGGCTCACACAACAACCCCAGAGCCACCACCTGAGCCAGGTGAACAAGGTATGTACATGTCAGTAAACTTACAAGTTATGCGAACATGTAAGCAAAGCATACATTATAGCTACGTTGACGTTACTTTGAATCGCGCGGGTAAGCTAAACCGTTAGCAAGTAGCTATAGCTAGCCAGATATATTAAATAAACACTTTGTCATGCAATCTAAATGTAATGTTTTTTAGCGTTACCTGGTGATTTCAAAGAAAGCTCTCTGGGAAATGTTGACTTACTGTTCAACATGAAGCTAGAAGCTACCTTACAGTCAGTG